TGTTGAAAATGCTACTAAAGGAACCAGTTTTTAAATGAAGTGTAGTATTTAATGCATTGAGATGTAGATGACGTGTTAATTAGCGCCAAGTATAGAATTCTAAAATTATTATGATCATATCTTTACCTTTCTCCTTGGTTTCTAGAAAGGAAGCTGGCGAGGTGGCTTTGCCAGTGGGTACAGTTCTGGCTTTCTTTTGTGTCTACAGATATGTAACATGTTCAGATACTTGCCCTCACATTTCAAGTGTGGTAGAACCTCTTTGTTTTCTGTGGAGTTTAGAGGATTCAAATTCTGTTAAAAGGATGAAGGAGTTGTGGGGTTTTTTGTTATATTCTGGAACATGGGATGTGCAGCTTTCAAATTGCATAGGATAAAGTTTAGACCTCTATCAAAAAATCACTTGTGAATCCACAAAGAAGACTCAGAGGACTAGTAGCATTTCCTTAAAGTGTTAAGGTACTTTTACATTCTGATTATTTTTTATTATTGTTAAAGTAGATGTAATTTAAACTGGAAATTTACATTTCATATACAAGATACATGTATTTTTCTTCCTGCAAGTAAAAACTCTTCACCAGGATATACAGTCTCTGGGTATTAGATTTGCAAACTGCTCCTGTGAGCAAATGCTTGCTTCTTGTAGAGCCCCTTTCTGTGGTCAGTGAGGATGCACACAGGCACAGAGAGCAGCCTCAACTTGTGGTCCACAGGCTGAAGCCCTGTGTTTCTAGAAAAAGGTGTGATAGGAGTGTATGATGACAGCTTTGCTAGCAAAGACATTTCTCAAATTGTTAGAAAAAACCACTCTACATCAGTGATGTGGGTACTGTAGCACTTCTCTCGCTCTTTTCAAGTGGGCTTCCCCAGTCCAGCTCAGGCCTTCTAAGGACTATATCAGTAACCTCTGCTGCAACGATACCAGAGGACAGTGAACTTTGAGTTCTCTTCTCAGCCCTCGGTTAATGGTGGTGAGTAGGAAAAGAAATCTCTTCCCCCAGAGCCTGGGAGGGTGGGGAGCTGCGGTGGGTACGCGCAGCAGCAGGGGCACGGCGCAGGCAGCTGGTGCAGGAGGAGCAGTTCTCACGCACTCCCTGTCTCTCTCACACAAATGTCATCAGCTGGTGGTAGGAGCAGCAGCAACGGGATCACAGGGGTGTATCTCACATGATTCACTGGGGTCCTGAGTTTACAAAAATAGCGAAAAGAACAGACGCAATTTCCAATAAGAAGTAATCTCTAGGGTGTAATGCCCTGGAAGCAAGACGTCTTTTCTTTTGGAATTTTCCACTTCTCCTCATCGTGATGTCTTTGCATCGCAGGCACCAAGCAGTTGTGAGCATTCCCATGGCAAAGCAAGTCTGTGGTTTGCCATGTGCACAGGCTTATTGTTACAGACTGACTGTGCTTTCATTTTCTTTGCTTTTCAATGCCAGACACGGAAAATAGAAACTAATCTTTAGTGAATGTATTTCCTGTCTTATTAAAATAAAGAAATCACTGTTGGTAGTTCTTGCCTTGGTCTTGCCAATATTGATTTCCATTAAGAAAACAAGCCTTACCCAGTATCCATCCCCTGATATTTTAGTGCTTTAGGAAAGTTCTGGATTGATGTCCCTAGACAGTGAAGTCTTCCACCTGTAAAACCTGTCACCAGCAATATTATTTTATCTTTTTAACTGGTATGTGACCGGTGGAGTTGAAAAGAGCACAGCTAGGGTTGCATTGGTGGCTCAGCCTTCATACTCACTTTGACAGAAGTAACGATTACCATCGATGACAGTACTACACTGATCTCCAGTTTGAGACAGCACTCAGAGACCTCTTCTATATTTTACTATTCTGTGTGTCACCATCAAAAGCAAAATTTTTCAAATTCTCACTTAGACACTTGTTCTACAAATATGTGTGCATTTGTTTTACACTAACTTGAATAACGTCACTGAAGAAAGTTGGGTTAATCACATATTTGTGTTGGGGTATATACTTAGATTTTTCAGAATAAAATAAAAATATAAAAGCTTTATTTTAAGATTTATGGCCCAGATGGCATCCAGCTTCCACATATAGTATTAGTAATCTGCTCTAACAGCTGGTTTGCATCCTTGGTACCAGTGAGATTAAAAAGAACAGTAAAAGTATCCTTGTCAATAAAGGACAAAAAGGTATGGATTAATAGTCATATAGAACACAGACATTAAATTAGAAGACGGAAATTTCTTGGTGTAGATGCCAGCATTTACTACTTTCTTTTCAACAGGTTAAATACTTGTTTTCATTATTCTTAATGAAAGTTTGTTTTCAGTAATTAAATCCTTTGGCATTATCAGTACTTACTGATAGTTCAGTGACAGAAGATACTGATTTGTATGACAGGGAATTTCAGTCTGTATTTGTGATGATCTATAATAACAAGACTATTGGTGCTATAAGTCGTATTGCTATAAGCTTGACCCAGTTGGATTCAGCTGGTTGGTTTCCTACTGTCACTCTTGGACTGTACTGCTGATTGTAGCCTGACATGTCCATTTTCCTTAGAGCTGAAGCGCAAAACCTTACCTACATTTAGTGCTTGTCAAAGTGCCCTAAAGTATTTTATTGAAGTTATTTAAGTTCAATTTATTGTTGCATTGAGAGTGAGACCAGGGTACATAAATTCTGAAAGACTTCCCTAGCTGGATTAGTTTACCAAAAGAAAAAAAAAAGGGCGGAGGAATTCTGCAGATTCCCAGCAGTTCTTACTCTTTGTACTTCTGCTCCAAAAGTTTTTCTTTGCGATCACAAACCAAGCAGATTCCATTTTAAAGCTTTTGGTGATGTGGACTCATTTTCTTAGCAGGTCTTGAGATTTGATCAGGTGATCAGAAACAATCTGGTTAATGTGATATAAGAAACATGATAACTGGCTGCGTGCACTGTTATGCTCTACTTTAGTACGAATAATACTGTTTTACTTAAACCACATTCCTCTTTCAAGTACCTTTCAGCATTATTAAGTGGTTTGCAGAAACCTGCTTTACTTCGCAGAGCAAGAGAGTTATGAGTGTGCTTGTAGTTACTAGTCTCAGCTGGCAAAATGATAGCTTGCATCTGGAGACAATAACTTCTGAAACTCAATAGCCTGAGCCCAGACTGAAAGTTCTTTTATTTTAAAGGGAGGGGAGAAGAAGGTCTCCCTTACTCAAGTATGAGCGTCACAGTCAGAAAAGGATGGACCTTTCATTTTCTAAATGACTGCTCAAATTGACTTGTGTTTTCTGCATTTGTCTGAATGTCAGTGATTGTCTTCAGTTATCTGTATTGAGTGAATTTAAAGTACTGAGTGTCATGTTGGGTCAGTGCCCTGGTGGCCAGCTTGATGCCTTTCCAGGAATCAGTAGAGACAGAAGAAGATCTTCCAGGAGCGCTCTGGCCCACCCTGCCTCGTATCTTTTGCCTGCGTCATCATCTCCAGGTCCTCTTTTGCTTTTACACTAGAAAAAACAGCCAGTGGAGGTACACCTCGTATCTTCAAGGCAGCATAACAGAACCTTACTGCCCCTTGTCTCCGGTTAGGGGGAACCCTATCGAAGTCAAATTATACAACAGTCTTGAGCTCATTGCATAATACAGAAAAATTAAGTCCTTGTCCAGGTTCTGGCAATATTGTCCACATTATTTATTGTCTTTGTTTCTTTTGGAAGAAGTTTTGTAGCTCTGTGTTTTCCCGATTTTGTTATGTGGACCTTAGGGTTCTGATCCATTAGTACAACTTTTCATGTTGTCTATTTTTTAAATAAGGCACTAATGTGTATGTTTGCACCTTTAAGGCTTTGGGGGATCTTTCAAGATGTAACATGCTATTATTGGCAGTTATATTGGGCGAACCCTTTCCATTGCATTTCAAACAAATAATTTACAGCTCTCCAGGAGCTAGAGCTAAGAAAAATTTGAGCCACATTTTTGTCCTTTTTGTTCTGGACTGTTTCAGATGCAATTCCATTCCTGGTTTAACAGACTGCAAGGAAAACTGTACTATAAGGGTACAACAGCTGCCACAGGTTACAGTACTGATGGCTGCATTGTTGTGAATCCCTCCTGATTCTGACAGACTGCTTTGATACAGACTGTGGAAGATGCATTCCCCACTGAGGAGCTTTGTACTGTTTACACAATACTTAAAATCACAGTTTTCCCTATATTGGATTCAAGGCCTTTATAGTTTGCTATGTTCTTCCACAGCAGGATGTTAAATTTACCCATCAAGTTTATTTTGGCCATGAGTTTTAATTGTGTTGCTGAGTTTCTCATTTTGCATTTTCTGGATGTTGTTGTACCATTCCAGTGTTTCTTCTGGAGACATCCATGTTGAAGTGAAATAATTTGACTTTAAGACTACAGAGGAAATTTCAGAGTGTTTAAAATAAAAGTCTTTAAAATAAACTTTGTTTTGTCAAATCTTATAATGTAAATGATCTCTAAGTGCTGTAACGTTTCCCTGTTGATCAAACTGTGGAAGGTTAATGGATCACTGTACATGTCATTTTATTCTCCCAGTTCATGTTTTGCATTCCACTAACAGGGTTTTTTCTGGGAAACTGCTAATGTTTGAGAAATATTATGGAGAACAGTAATTTATTTTGTCTTTACATTTTCATTTTTAATTTATCTGTCTTCAAAACTTGAGTGAGATGCTGTATTTGTTTAAATGAACTTCACTTATTTCATTTTATTGAATAAAGATAGATTCAGAATCCTTTGATGAATTCTACTGTGCAATAGAGAACCGTCATTCACAGAATCACAGAATGATAGGGGTTGGAAGGGACATCTGGAGATGATCTAGTCCAACACCCCTGCCAGAGCAGGTTCACCTAGAGCAGGTTGCACAGGATGGTGTCCAGATGGGTTTTGAAGGACTGTTTATCATTTGCTCTGCTGCTCACATAGCTGTATGTGATGGTAAGGTTACATATATTCCCTATTTTGAAGCCTACTTTTTTTTCTTTTTATGTTTACAGCTTGCACAAGTGGACTCCAGAGCTGTACATCTTGGTGCTGTGTTTGTTCGTGGCCTTACAACTTTGCTCTTGGCCAATAGTACCTGTGGCTTTCCATTCAGGATGGATGATTTGATGCCTTGGGAGATGTTTGATGGGAAACTTTTTCAAGAAAAATACCAGCAGTCACACCGAGGTTGCCCTTTGGAAGAGCTTTTGGAAGGCAATGTGAGTAATCGCATCCTCTTAGATAGTTCCGTATTCTTTGTAAAATGTAGGTGGCAATGCTTGTTTGAGTTTTTGTAATATTCATGTTTACACTGGTCCCCTTTCCTTGCATTTTTCTTCTCTTCTTTATTCCTTTTTCATCCTCTCCACCAAAAACACCTAAGAAGGTAAAAATACTGAGATTATGAAGGAAGCTACTATTTTGCCTTTATTTTTGTTTCCACTACTCAGAAAATAATATAAGGAAGTGTCAAAATAGTTGTCAGTTTCAAAAAATGAAAATGCCTGTAATGGTTTTCTAGTACTGAGATATTAATGAGGTCTTTTTCCTGTAAGATGTTAGGCAAAGTATTAAGAATGTCTTTAAACAAGTGTACTGGGTATAATTTTTGAACTGCTTAAGAGTGATAGTTTTAAAGATATTAAGGAACATAAAGTTTGAGATGAAGGTCTAGTGAATTCAAAGAGGAACTGGAAATCAAAGGAAGGTATATATCTGTGTATGTTTTTTTAGTATCTCGCCAAGTACCTTCCTGTGCCTTTAAGTACTTATTTAGCTCTCAGTCCCACTTTTCACAATCTGGGGATTTGTACGTTTTGCATGTTATGTTACTAAAAAAACAGTATGACTTAAAACATGTCTGCCCAGGCAATGGCAGGGAGATGTCAGCAGAGTCTTGCTGGGTATGGGCCATATTGGCGCATTAGGGTGGCGTCATTTCCAGGCTCAGAGGTAGGGTCTGCTAGGCTGGGTGCACACCAGTGGAGCCTCAGACCAGACCTGCCACAGAATATGCAGAGAGATGCTTGGGTAGGTCTGCACTCATCTGTGTAGATTGGCCTCTTAAGACCTTCAATTAACATGTCTCCTTTCAATGTGGAACTGAAATCCTGTATCGTTTAATTGCTTTTGAAAATTTTACCTTTGAAATGTTTTTACCTGCTATTACATATACCACTTGAGGTTAAAATAAATAAAAGTGATTACAGACAAAAAATTTTTCGGGTTTGAATGATGTTAATCCCATGCATTCAATATCAGTTGTTGTGTAATTAGTTTTCTTTTCTAATTTTGTGTCCAATTACATACTGTCCTGATCTGGAGTGATGAGTGGAAAGCTTGTGGGTGGATGGAATGTATGTGTTTTCAGCATGGAGGAGGATGATAATCCTTTCCATATGGAATCAATCATATGATTAGGACTATAGCCTCTATCCAAATCCTGTGGTTCCCATTAATTGCTTCGTTGATTTCAGTTGATTTTGGATTGCGCCAGTGGTTCATCCAGTTTCTCATGTAGGACTTTTGCAGAACAACACAGTGTCTAAAGAATAAATGGAACAAAATAAAACTATACAAATCTATGTGAAACTGATACTTTTTTTTCCATTTGGGCAGAATTCAGGTTAGTAAATAACTTTTGCAATATGTATCTAAATCTGTACAAAATTTATACTGGCCAAGAAGTATTTTCAAATGTGTTGGGTAGTATGTTTTAGCTAACATTTGAAATTCTTGAAGTGGTCAGGTTAAGGTTCTATTTTAACCTGTCCTGGAATTAAGATGCTTAGATCCCGAGAAAGGAGTAGGAAATTTGCTTGATCAACTAAAATATCTAGGTTAGGGTTTTTAAAATCCTGATACTCTAGTTTAACCAAACCCCAGATAAACTCTTCTGTTGGGGGGTAAAATAGTCTAGTCCTGTGAATTTTTAGAGTAGTTTAAATATATTTCTCTTTTTTAGGTATGGTTTTATGATGCATACATGGCAGAGAGAGCTCCCAGACTAATAAAATAACTTTCCAGCTTATCAGTTTGAGGCAAGAATCTGTTTTGGGGAGAATTGCCAAGAGATGCCAGTTTAGCTGGGACCACTGGCAAGGCAACAAGCATATGTGATTGGTTTTTCCTATTATTATAAGTTCAACTTTAATAAATAAAACTGGTACTTAGTTCCTGGCAGAGCTTAATGTACTGCTGGAAGCCAAGATCTTTCAGCACTTGTTTGTTAACAATCTACACTTGAGCACCATAAATCTAGTCTGATAATAGCGACAGCATTGTATTCAGAAAAAAGTTATTCTAGATGGGATGTTTTGTTATAGAAAAGATAAGTAATAGGAAAAAGTTACTCCTTTTGGTGTTTGATGCTTGTCTCCTAACTCTTAAGGTTCCTTCTCTATGATCTGGACAGTTACATTACTTCAGAGAGTTCAGGAGATCTCAGCATCAGCATTGTTTTGTTTATGATGGTCTTAAATACAGTTAATAACTTTATGAAAATTACAGTAGAAATATAATCTTGGTTAAATATTTACATGTATACCTGAAATTTTGAACATTTTAGGGTTTGCTTCCCACAGATTCTTGTACCAAAAAGAAGAAAATGTATAAATTAAATGCAGTTGATATATTTGTGAGCAAGTTTTTGTGTAGCTCAGCTCTTTGTAGCCTAGCAGCTGTTAAAGATAAAAAATGGAAAGCTTCTGATAAGAATCAAAAATAGAGCCATCTTGATTTTTAAAAAAAAAAATATGCTAAGCTCATATTATGCTAGTTCTCTGGTTTTCATAACAGTAATCATATTAGTTTGTTTATCCACACAGAAAATTGGATATAATAGTCTCATAAAGCAGTGAGGCAATGATATTATCACTTTATTAGCCTTTTTATTGTGCTTCTCACTAATGAGTATGTTCATGATCAATTTTTTTAAATTAAAACCAAATTACCTAATGGAGTCAGTATAAGTGATACGTTTTGTCCTTTTCTGATCATGCCTTTCATCCAGGCTTCATAAACACGTTCTTATTCTACCAAGAATATAATGAAAAGTTAGTGAGTGTTCTTCACAGAATGTTCTCCGCTTGTGTGGAAAAAAAAATAATATCTGTGGGGTTTGCTTAAGACTTTATGAAGAGGTTTGTTAACTTAAAAAATGTACTAGGAAAGTTCGTGGGAGGGTTCATGTCTCTTCATAATTTTTTTTAAATGTGTACCGCTGCCCATATGCCCAGTACAAATTAATAAAAAAAAAACAGGTTCTAAGATCTGATACTTCAAGGCTCACTGAAATCAGTGAAAGTTAGGGATATGTCACATCTCAGTACTGCATCTTTAAATAGCTTCAGTTTGTTCTTTTGACAGTAGAACTTTTCATCACACCACAAGGTAAACATTTTTATTTAATTCCCCATTTCTCTTTAGACTTAGTTATATTTCATCAGTCAGGAGTAGAGGCTGATGCATTACTGTTGTGTTAAGTTTTGTTTCTAATGTATGAGATGAAGATACTTTGATTTTCACTGGTACGTTTTCCATGGGTCTGTTTCTGGAGGCTTTAAACATCTCTGCCTGAGGTATTGCTGATAGAAGTCTAGTTGAGTATATCTACAGGTGCAAGGTAATAGAATCAGAAAAGCAAGTGTTTTACAGATGTGACCAGAGAAGAAAAGCAAACTTCACTGAGAAAAGGGGAAAGCATTCCTTCTGTGCTCCTACTCCTCCCTCCTGGTATCAGTTTGGAATATGAAATGTTTGAAATTTGTTTCTGAAAAAGTGCAAAGCAGATCTACCACCTTCATGTATGTATGAGTGTGGGCTAAGAAAATTATTTTTGTTGTTGTATATGTGGTTGATTTGTGCTATGCCTGAAGAGAGCAAAGTGGAACAGTCATTGATTTTTAACCTTGTTGTCTGCAGGAGTCTTTGTATGCACCCTTCCACAACCTGAAGTCTTTCATTTGCAAGGCCTGCATGGCCAAGAAGAGAACAATACAGAGCAGACCAAGAGGGAATGGATTTACCACAGGTTGGCGTTGTGTTAAATTTCTCAATAAAGTCAATATATTGATGAGGTCTTTTATCCTTCAACAGCAGCAGCATTTACATAGGCAGCCCATCAAGCTAAGTAAATTGTAAGGTCTTTCTCCAAAAAACCAAATGAGAGATCTAAGAAAATATTTCCTGTTTTTAGGAATTCATATGAATTTGATTACCCAAGTTTGGATAAAATTATGTTTCCATCTAGCTACATAGTTAGTGAGATATATGCAGTAAATATAATACATTCACTGACAGAAACGTCACTGCTATTTACTCAGTGACTCAGAGTTTTTTCTTCCTTTCCCTCAGGGGAGCTATTTTAGCATTGATAGTTGAAGGTTTGAGTGAGGCACTGAAGAGAGAATACTCCTTATTGGACTGACTGACATAGTTCAAAATATAAGAAAGCTTTTGGGCAGCCTGGAGAATGGCTTTTTTCTTCTCTAAGATTTACCACTTTTTATGTCTCGGTTTACTAAAGACATGGCTTTTCCCCACCTGATCTGCCTGACTTTCAGGGAAAAAAAAAATCTGAAATGTTTTCAGCACTGTTCACAGATTGGCCTGAAAGTTGAGGCTTTTGAGGCTTCGAAATAATTGACGCTGAATTGCAGTGTTTATGCTGGTATTATGCTTATTACCTGCTCAATACTTGATCAGTTACAATGTCTGTGAGGATAAAAATTGCCTCTTCAAAATTCCTTGAGCAAATTACAGCAGACAAAATTATTTTCTGTTAGGTTAGTACTTTGCATTATGTGATGGCAATACTTCTGATGTGTTACTAAACCATATTGGTGTTGGACATTCAAAACTAAGGGTATCTGTTGGCGAATTATGATAACAGACCTTGTTAGCATCTGCTATTGCTTGAGAGCTGTACTTAACCATTTTAATTATGATTTGTGATTCCAATTTGGACAGAGATTTCTGTTTTGTTTTAATGACTGCAGTCTCCAAATCTGTGTCATAAAATTTTGATCTGGTTTCTAAATACTCTTGTTAACAGCTTGTAATCGTGATGTGCATAGATGGAAATGAGGACAAGAACCGTGCTTATTAAGCTGACTTTAGTTTGGAAAAATCATAATTGTGCATAAGTATTTTGGCATAAAACTAAGAAATGTTGTTTCCAAAAAAAAAAAAATATGCTGTCTTTCTTTTTCTTAATTTAATCTTATATACAGTCAGAGTTGCTTAGTAAATACTGTTTTTTAGGAACACAACAAAGAGAATTTCATCCCAGGTACCAACAAACACACAGAAGTTCTTTTGTTCCTCCATATCATAACCAGATGAGGGGGTCCCTGTGGAGAAATCCTCAATCACAAGGTAAAAAACGTGTGTAGGTGTGAATATTTGGAATCGTCTCTATCGACAACGTAACAGCTCTATGACTATATGCAGTTTGTGTTTGTGTGTAGCAGTTACCTTGTGGCCACATCAGTCAGTAACAAAACTTATGTCAGTTCTGGTTGTGTACTACCATTAGCAAAATGTAACTCTGCAAGGTGAGGCAGAGTGTAGCATTATAATCTGGAGTCATCTTTTACTCACAGTGTTCTGGGAAAAAACTTTCATGAGATATTTAAATTTTCCATGCTTGGTCTCAGCTGAACTGTGTTTAAAATTGTAATAGTTCTGAAACAAATTGTCACAGCTGCACAGAAATGTCCGTCTGAAGTCATTAGCTGCAGATCTTAGTTCATACTTCAAGGAAACATTTAAGCATCTGAATAAAGTTAAAGACGTTCTTAAGTGGTTTTTTAGGTCAGGGCCTCAGCTTCCAGATCATTGCCTAAATAATAGAAATGTACGTTCTGTCTTGTCATTAATCTTAAGTAATTCACCAATCTCACTGCCTGAACTGAACAGACATTTCAGTGAAGCATTACTGTGGGTAACACTGTTGAGCTAACGTAATTCGGTTTTATTTCCTCATTATTATGAGTTAAAGCATATACACGTAGATTAAAGAAAATAAGGAAAAGGAGGAGAAGTGTCTTAAGATCAATTATTTTATTAAGTCTGCAGAGCCTACATTTCTTCTGTGTTTCCAGGTGAGGTTTTCAAAGAAGATTGATGATGTGATTAGAGAGGATAAATAATAAATAAATTCAGTAAAGTCTTTAATGTGTTTCAGCTGCCAGTGTTCTATGCTTAAGAGTGAGATACTTTCATTTGATTCCCAGATAAGATTGATTGTGTATGCAAAATGCAAAGCTGAAATACAGAGTGTGTATGCTGACTGTGAACAGAACCAAATCCAGTCATTGTTACTGTGACCATCTCTAGAAGCCTGCTGTTCAGGGGTCAGGTCATCTCTGGCCAACTCCAGAGATCTTACGACTAGATGTATTCCACAAAGTGTGTTCCTCAGTAATGTGCTGAACTGTGTTATAAATGTGTTTCAGTAGCATTATTAAACATCCTGGCTGCTTCTACTCTAGCCCTATTTACTACCCTCAGGATGCTCTTAAAACACGATCCCATAAGTGCAGTGAAATTGTCTCTGTTATAAGTAAAATAGAGTTATTGGAAAAATATATCTGTCTTTACAAAAGAGCCCTGCAATGTTTCAGACCTCCTTTTAAACTGATCTGCCAAGATGACTAATTTTGACAAAGTTTCTTTTTCCTAAGTTTGCTAATAATAAGACAGGTATTTGGTTTGCTTCATTATGTAGCCTGTGGAGGAAAGAGTGCCTCCACCCAGAAAGCATAAACCTAAGAAGCATTGGTATTTCTCTGAGATGATGGTTTAAATTCCCTCTGGCAGAACAAGAATTAAGCTTAGACATCCCTCATTTTATGGTGAATACTAACCACTGATCTGTTGGAATTAACATCTCATCTTCTATCTGTATTTTGAGAGAAGGGAATTCAGCTGTGGGTTTTTTGGTTTTTCAGGGGGTTGGGGTTTTTTTGTTTTGATTTTATTTATTTATTTTAAGTTATCTTCATAAATGTCTTGGCTGTGTGTCACAAATAGAGAGTGCATCCCTGTAACTCAGAGTGAGGTAGATTTTTCCTTAGTGTTTCTTGTTTGTTAATTTAGAAGGCTTCCAATTTAGCAGGTTGACTTTTGTATATCCCATTCTGAGTGTCACTCTATTCTGATGCTTGTTAAACAGATTATAGGTATCTAATTTAAAGCTCAGGTTGGGCTTCTGTTATTGAGATATAAAACTTTGCATTGCAGTGCTGCATAATGGTTGTGCTTTGAGTTTAAAAGTCTTGTTGGAGGTAACGTAGATGTCTGTAATAAAGCATGACTTTCCGGATTCTAGGTTGGTGGCTGAAAGACCACACCACATGCCATATAGCCTATTGGTAGATAAAACTTCATTAATTGGCACTTAAGGCCACTAATACGTTGTTTTGAATCACATTGCTACCTCATTCTACAAATAGCTAAAAATAAATTGAGCAGTAAGAACTATGGAAATCACTATTGAGTATCGTGAGTCTCTGTCACTCTCTTCAGCAGTTTAGCTGATAAACACAGAGATGGTTTGTCATAGCATGCAAATTACCACCTAGTTCTAAAGCAATGTACAAGAGATGGAGAAAAAAAAAAGAAAGTAAGTCTAATCTTATCTATACATTGTCTTATATAGTCCTATAGCTGTATTTTAAAATTTCAGTGATATGGACAATGATACTCATACCAGTATTTTGAAACCTGTCAGAACATTGAGCTGAAGATAAGGGAATGAGATAGGGAAGAGAGTGTCTGTGGGAATGATTGTAACAGCTACATCAGTGGCTGAAATCAAGAATAGCCTAATACATTAGAAATAGTGAAAAGTGTTGGCAAGGATATAGAATTTCTGCTGGTGATGAGGTAGACACCAGAACATTCTGGATGCTGGATGCAGGGGAGAGATGATGACATAATGAGTAAGAGCTGTCAGAGAGCTAGAAGTAATGGATGATAGTTTCAGGTACCAGTCATCTACCACCAGAATTATAAACAGTGAGATGGGGAAGCAGTGAAGAATTGGGTTAGATTTAAAAGTTACAGTGGCCCAGGAGCAATGCCACCATGGACTTTATCCTCCAACATCTAAAAATACTATACATCAACTGGAGAAGGAAATGTTTGTCTTTCAAAATAGATATAAGTGTGTTTTTTCTTGCAGACTATATGAATAAGCTGTTGTTTTCCTGCTTTCATGTTGATCGAAAGTATTTAATTCCTCTCCTGCTCCCTCCAGGTAGAGAACATAGATTGAGACATCCAGAATGGAGGAGAAGATTCCACCTTCCTCCTCGATAAGGAACACAGGTAGCAAACTGATTACCATTGAGATAATTTTTGTCTATGACAGCCTCTTTTTATGAACTTTACAGACTAACTGTGACTTCTTGAACTTTATGGGCCGCGGAGGAAATCACTTGAAGCTGATGGCATTCAGCCTGTATATCACTTGTCATGTTAGATATAAGGTTGTTATGTGTCTGGAATCACTAAAACTCAAGATACCAGCTGAAGCATAGTAGCATCCCAGTATGGCTATGTTGTTTTGTCCTTTTAACACTGGAAGATATGAACTGTTTTTACAGCATAGTTAGGTATGCGTGACTGTAAGTGTTAAGAAATATAGTTTAAGTTTTACATATTTTCCTTATAGTTGTGTATATTACAAGAGTTTGCTCACCATGAATAGTGTGGCATATCCATGCTGAATTGTCTGGGTTGTGTCTTAACTCTGGATTATATCTTCATTTTAAGGGTTATACCATTGCTACTGAAATCTGTTGAAAAGTTTGAAACGTTAAATCACTGATGTAAACATCATCTGTCAGTGAAATAAACTGACCTTCCTGGAAAGTGCAGCACTTTCTTTCAAGAGCAAAAAATTGCTGTTACTTTTGGCACTTCTAATTAAGCAACTTTTTCTGTCTATCATCTCAGATGACTGTGCAGAGTAAACCCACATCACTGCTGAGGAAAGAAAGAAAATGAGTCTTGTCATGCTCTACTTCTGTAATAAATAATACTTAATGGAACTAAGTATTTTTTCCCGTCCAGAATTGCAATTTAAACTCTTCTCTTCAGAATTATTTCTTAAAAATTGATATATTTCACTTTGTGAATCAATTTCAGTGGTGTATGTAATTATAAAACTAATTAATTTTAAATAGAGTTAATCTAAATAATACTAAAGAAATGCAAGTAATGCTAAAGAAATGTAAAATAACAGAGCACACGCAATTTTTAACAGTGCCATAGGGTCATATATTGGTAAGTTGATAGGACAAAGCCCCTCTTTGAGACATTACTTGTGTTTTTAAAGAAACTGTTTTAGAGATTACAGCAACTTTCTTATGTCTCCCGTGCATACCCATACCGTTAGAAATAATCAGTTTAAAATAATTAATTGCTGTCTTCAGGCAAGAAAAATTAGTTATGTAGAAATCCCATTTTAAATCATGAAGTGTAAAAATTGTGCTAGAGGAAAAAGTGTCAACAATACTTGTGTCACATAGAAAGTGGGTGACACACTTAGAACCGTGGTTATCTCTACTGATCTGCATCTTAACCTAATTGCAAATTGTCTCCATCTCATCCATGTAATCTTCAACAATTTCATGCTTAGGCTTCTAGCAATCTTTGATTTGGGTTGACTCAAGTGCATGTCTATAGAACTGATGAGTTTTCATCTGTTTATGTGCTTTGGAATCACAGTATCTTAAGTTTGGTACTTCAGCCTTTTCAGTACATTAAGTTATATAATAAACTTGCTTCTACTCATATGGGAGGTATATAATGAAAGACGAATGAAAGCCTGATGTCTGTTCCTGCTCTCAAAAATGACTGAGCAGCAGAAAAAAAGATATCCAAAGACAGAGGCAAAATAGTAAGAGCAAGTTTTGAAAACTGATAGAGTTTGCAGATTTTCATAAGAGCATGTTTACTTGTTGAGGATGATGACTATTCCAAACAGTCAAGTCAGCCATGTTGCACATGGACAAAACTTAGTATTTATGCAAAAAACTGTGGCCTTAATGCTTATTATGTTGGAAAGTCCACTCTTCTGGATTATTTTTCTTTTTTGTTTTCAATTATATAGATTACTATCTTGTTAGTGTAGTTCTCATAATCGTCATTCTAGATTTTACTGTTACAGAAACCGATCTCAGGCTTCTTATTGTATTACTGCCAGGATTATTTATTTTTGTGAGCATTGGAAAATTGGATTTATACCTGAAAGCTGTCTCCCGACCCATACTTACAGAGAGTAGCAGATGCTATAAAACTTAATGCTTGCATTAAAACTCACAGAACTTAAGGTTCAAAAGACAAGTGCTGATTTAGATAATTAATATGTATATCATTAAACCTTGAATGCATCATTATGGTAGTTTAATCACCTACGTAATACAGACCACAAGATCTCACCCTATAACAGGCCATAACTTCTAAAGTTGTTTCACTGTTGATGTTCATGTATCTGATTTGTCTTCTCATGACTGTTTGTCTTTTAGATCATCCAGGTGACCCTACTTAATACTGAGAGTGGATGAAAATGGATAAGAGAACAAGAAACGTTTTTATGAAATGCTGTAAGCTGAAGATCATAAAAGCTTCATCAGTATTTCAAGAATGGAGTGGGGAGGCTCTAATCAGAAATGTATCATGCCACATTTTTAGTTCCATTTTATTTTCTATACCTTTTTTTTTAACCTATAGCTTAGAGAAGTAAATTATGGACTGTTGTGAAACAATTATTATATAATTTAGGTTCCAGATAGTATTGTTTGGAGCACTATACAAAAGCCCTGTTGACACAGGTATGAAAAATGATCATTAAAAAATTATGTCTGGAAACATAGAGGGCAGTGTGAAGGGTTGAAGAAGGCTGCAAAAATTTCATTAATTCATCTGATTCTGGTGTCAAAACTAATATGTCTCTTCTGTTAAACTTCTATGCTAACTCTCTAAAATGAAAAAAGGGTAACTGAAACATTCCAGAGATTTGTAAATTAGTTTTTAGGTACAAAACTGCTACAGCTTTAATGTCCTACTATTTTGGGGCCAATCAGAGTTGCATCAAATGCATGGTCCTCTTCTGGAATACCTACAATTCTCCTCCATATGTAGTGAGTCGTTTACAAAACTTTTAAGGTTTATGCTATACCTTACATCTGTCTTTAGCCTCAAAGTAAAGGTCTGAGTGTGATCCTTTGGCCAGTATAACTTTGGAGGAAATTCTAAATCAAGGGGAGACTAAGAGATATTTTGAATGCATTCTTTTTTCTTTTTTTTTTTTTTTTCCCCAAGTGGCAGTTGTTTGAAGCACACAGGGTAAAACTTTTTTCCTGTCGATGTCATTGGTGCGTCTTTTGCAGATCTGAGCAGCACCATGATTTCACTGTGTACTGATAAGGTAATCCCCAGAAATCTAAATAAATGGACAGAGTAAAGGTAGGGCAATCGGGTGTCTCCTGAGTTAATTTTCTCCGGTCTATTACTCATCACACAGACCTTATTACTACTTTGGGGATGTGTATTTTTAGAATAGTACATAAGTACACTTGAAATGAAATGTCTTTAGAAGTTTTAGAAGTGATTAGCATGAGGAAGAAGCATTATTTTTGTATTCCAAAGAGAAAATTTAGTTCTAATTTTGAAATCTATTTTCAGAAGAAGAACTATAGCTATTGTACAATTTAAACTTACCTCTTAGGTACAATGATTACCCATTTAAACGCCATTGTTTTTAGCCCATTATTGTTCAGGTAATGTTGTTTCTTAGGCCTTGTGCTGGTAACTTCTCTGAGTCAAGTTATTGAGTACAAGTTATGTCAAAGTGAATAGTATTGTCAGACATACATAACTCAATACTGTAATGTCCTTGTATGTATTTTTCTGTGTGCAATCCAATAAATATATTCTTTCTTACTTTGCATATAGCTATAGTCCAGCTAAACAGATACATTGGGAGCAATATAGGGTTCTAGTTGTTAAAAGTCTGAACAGACACAATTTTTACACAACACTGTCTATTTTGCATTCTTAGGATCCTGTCATGATAGCGGCATTCCTGCCTCCTTTTTCTATTGATTTCACACTGACTGTAATTGTACTACCATTATATTTTTTTCCCCTAAACCTTTTGGAATATTGTGGTCTGAGTTTTATGGAAAGTTCTCTAGTTTCAGGAATCTTATGATGTATAATAGTGTATTTGAAAAGATTGTAATTGTGTGCCAGAATTTGTTGGTAATTCTCCCTTCAGGCTTTGATATGACAAAAGATTTCTCTTGGCCTCAGTAAACAAAGTTAAATGCAGTTAGAGTGGGAGTTTTGCTGTGCTAGTTGTGGTATGTTATGAATTGTTGGTAATAATTATCCTGACTACTGACGAACTGTTAGTTTCTCTGTGAGGTTTTTTTTTTCCTCCTAATGTTAGACCATAAGCAGAAGCTGCTTATTATTATTTCCAAGCCAAAAGACTATTTTTTTTCCCACCAGGAATCAGAGAGTGAAAGCAGAAGCATGGAGTTGAAACATAGAAATGCTATTTTGCTGTCTCACTCAACTTTAAACTGAATACCATAAAGCTTAGGGACTGTAGAAGTCATGCCTGAGTGTGTAGGGATACCGTGACGTTTGGTGGCTCTGGTGAGGCTGCTCTCTTAGATACATTTTGATGACCTGGTGAGGTTGCTGCTGAAGGTTGGTCATTCAGACTTGCTGGAGTTGCTCAGGTCAGGGCTCAGTGAGGGTGACTATACAAGCCCTAGTGTTTCCTAGTGTCCCAGGTGCAGAGGTGCCTGACAGGCTGACAGGCACATGGCTCATTACACCCTCAATGCTCAACCAGGCTCTCCTCCTGGCCCCCAAGTTGTTTGGCTGCTTGCAGTTGGGTGACCTTGGATCCAGCTGGTGCATGAGAAGGACCAGTGTGAGAGCTGTGAAAAGCCTCATGAGAGGCTACCTTGGCTCAAGAGGTAACATTTAAGCTCAGGTGCTTGTCCTTGCCTAATTTACTTCACCTGTGTTGAGCCTGGCACCTTGCTGATTCTGCCCTCGTCTTGCTCATTTGACCTCCTGCTTTGACCGGGGACATGCATCATCACCATGGACTTATCCAGTCACCACAGGACTGCTGCATGAACCTGGTTACCATCATCAGACCGGCTCTGCTCTTGTTCAGGTACTGTGGGACTGCACCCTCACCAGTGCCATCACTGCCCTCCCTGTGCTGTCTCTCGCAGCTGCTGGCTTGCCCCCTCCCTTATGGAGCAGCTCTCCCTTGCTGCTCCACAACAGTGGGCTTTAAGGCACAGGTGGGCAGAAAGTTTGGCTGTAGCTACCTTAATAATACCTTAATAATTGGACAATGTCAATATAATAGATGTGGCCTGTGGGATTACTTGCTGCTGAAAACCAGAAAAGAGCTACAACCAGTAAAATGTCTTTTTGTATCTCTGTACAGTTAAGGAGCTTACACTCCTTGCTTTATTATTGAACGACCTATTCTTTAGTAGTGGTCATATAGATAAAAAGGGATATATTAAATGTTAATATACTTAATCTAGGCATGAATTTTGACATTAAATTGATATTTCATTTCAAATGTATTCTCTTCTTTGTGCCAGAAGACACAAGAAATACTAGGCACAGAAACCAATCCTGGATAAAAGCCCTCTGAAAATGCTTGATAACTGAAAGCTTTTTAATAGAGAATGGTGCCCCCTGTCTCAAAAATTAGGTAGCCAGAGATGCAGCTGGCCTTTGGACTCTTATTAAAGAGCAAAACTGTACTATAAGAACTGTTCTGATCTCAGATGTGATTTCAAAATATGCTCTAAATATAGCTCAAACAGTCATTGTTCAGTGAAAGCAATCATGATTTTTAGAAAAGTGACAAGAAACTCTCATGTCGTTTATGGCATTTTGAAAATTTAAGTCAAGGTAACCATTCAGGAGTTAGCTTTATAAGATCCAGCTTTATTTTAGTCAAGGGTTTGTTTGTTTATTAACAGCAGAGCCCCAGTAGGCTCTGTATTTACTTTCTGAGAATACTTTAATTTTCATTTGTGATGATGCTGCAGCTCAACTAAAAGGATGTAAATGTGTAGTGTGGTGCCTTTTGATAATCATCTTTGCCCTCTGGTTTAATTACCCATCAGATCCTTGAGTCCTTCTGATCTACACTCTGCTGGAGGGTTTTGGGTCCAGGTTTGAGGCTGGTGATAAAGCTAGCCCTCTTGTTATGTAGTATGCATATGAAAGATCCCCACATTTAAGTGCGGTGATAAGGCTGACTCAGAATCTTCACCATCTTTGGGCAAATCACAATACTTCTTAACAAGGCCTTCATTATGTAGGTGGGATTTAATTTCTACCCTGCCTTCTCTGTGCAGAGGGGAGACGCCACAAAGGAGCAAATAGGAGAGGTTCAAAAAAATCCAGTAGCAACATTTCACTTCCAAATAAAAGAGGGAGAGCAGCTACACAGCTGATGCACAGCAGCACAGAACATTGAGAAGGTGCCTAGTGCAGCTGGGCCAAAAGTTCCAGGTTTTAAAAACAATTCAGAAACCTAGGGCATACTCTACTTCCATCATGGTTGCAATACACTTAACCTTGTTATATTTTTTTTTTAATTGACTCTCTGCATATCTAGGCTCATTTTGGAACTGTAAGTGACCCCTCTGCAAGCCTAGACAGTGATTGTGGTTTATGCTTAACGCGTTACATAAAGGTTACATTTTGGATGATTTCCTGAAGTGGTCAAACAAAAGTAGTAAATAATCTGCAAATTCATCCTCCTTTTACTCTGAGAATAGACTTTTGCTTATTTACATTAGTTATTACTATATTAAGTCTTGGCAACAAATAGGGCTGTGAGAAACTCCTGCTCCAAGCAAATTAAAAATATAGCATTAAAAAAAAAAAGTATTAAGTGCTAGTAGGAGCCAGTTTGTGAGTTTGTGTGTCCTAACACTTGTTTGGAGTAGGAAAGAAATCCCAAATTTGTGATTGTGCATTTGTTTACACTAACGGGTTATTGCTTAATCAATCCACAATCCCCCTCCCTGATAAACGTCCCCATCTGTCTATAGAGAGAGCCCAGCCTTGCAAGGCTGCTAGCCTGTTTTAGAAATTAGAATCAGAGAAGAAGCTTCTCTTCTGTTGCTTGTGCTCCAGGAGCGCAGTGATTCAAGGGGTTGTTAACTGCCCTGTGCAGTGCTCACTAGGGGCTACAGCTGGTGCCAGCCCATGGCATTTAGATTTTGAGAGGATGAGTGTCCATCCTGCTGGAGGATAAGATGCATTTGCCTTTCCGTGTACTGGATATGATCTAAGTTCAAGAGAGAATAGTTTCAACCCCAAAAGAGTTGCACTTCTAGGTATGTGAGGGTAGCATGTGTGAATTTTCTGTAAGAGAGTAGCGTTTTTCTCCCATACGAAAAGTCTCCTTACTCTTTGATTTTATTATTTCAGTTAAATCTCTGAAGGGCCAGAGGGAATTTTTTTCCCTAGGATTCTCTTGGTTTTAAATTGGGCCAGAAGAGGAGATAGTTTAAAGGTAACTTTACGGAAGAAGAGTGAGAGGATATGAAGCCAGAATTGCTTGAAAAATAGAAATTGAGGGCTATGTTTTGTCCTAGATGGCTTGTGCAACTTTCTTCAGATTAACTGCACCCTTTTAAATGTGTTAGGCTGACAGTGCTGGGAAATTAGCCCAGGCCTTCTGACTTCTGGTAGCTTTCCTGACTGCTGGGCTACAAACTCGCATGACAGATTGCATCCAGCACAGTAGGCTGCAGAAAGTAGTTAATGGAAAATAGACTGCTTTGATGTTCACTTCTGGTGGGCTGATCCTCTGGTTTAAAGGCTAAACATCTATTGTCCTCAGTAGGAGTTTTCTTTACAAAAAACTTTCACAAAATCTATAATTTCCCATTTTGTTTTCCGAGACAGTGGTTTGCTCTACTTCTACATTCAGTAGCCAGCAAATATTTTCAAGAGTGATTTGTAATTTTCGAGTCTCTAACTTCAGATGCCACAGACAGGACCTTATTTCTCAGAAATTGCTAAGGATCTGTCCTCTTTTGCTAAAGCAGATGGCTCTAAAGTATTTCCATTAGAGCAGCAGAAATGAAGGGACCTAAACACAGTGCCTACTTTCCTGAAAAACGGGGCTCAGCACTGCAGAGATGCACCTTAGAAAACAGGCTCAGCTAGAATTAAGATAAGGGGGGGAGGGTGAGGAGAGGGAGAGCAAATACAGTAGCAGCCTATGATTAGAAATCTTAACAATGACAGTGAGTTCTGTTTAATTTCTAACTGCTTAAAAGCAGGCCTGGGGAAATGCTCTGCTTAGAAATGTCATGGAAAGTGCAGCTGGTCCATGGGCTTTATCTTGAAAAGCAAAGGATCTTTCCCATTTTGCAGTAACACTGCCATTTACTGGGCCATACCACTAGCAATTTGCAACAATGGGAGGGAAAAAAGCTGCCATTTGACCTAGAATGCAATTTTCAACTAATTAATAAAGTGACCATTAGTGCCCGAGGGGATAATAACAGGAATAAGAACAAATTACTATGGGGTGCAAAGGAGGCTCGGGCATTGTATTGCAAATTTCTTATGGCACTATTCTTCTTTTTTTCCTCACTAATACTTTTAAAGTGCCCCCACTCAACACTTGCTCCTTGTAGGACCCTTGCAAACCACATAAGAATTAGCCCTTCAAAGATCAATCAGGATCTAATTGTTGTTAACAAAGTGCCACCTGGAGAGAAATGTTACAATATACCTTCATTACAAAGCATTCAATCTCTCTCAGGCTCACAAGTCCTGGCTACAGTACAGACAAAAAGAAGCGGTTGCTAGCATTAACATCAGGCACCTGCAATTGCTTGTAAAACACTGTCAGTCCCTGCACAAATATGCTCCTAACATTGCGTGAGCCTGGCTAGAGCTGCTCTGTTTATGCTTCCTCACAGCAAATTTTGCTGGGGTCTCTCTATTTGTGGCACTTTAACTTGTCACCGAAGCCCTCGTATTGATGGGGATGTCAGGCAAAGCCACTGCGCCATTTTGCCGTGGTCTTTCATGGGCTCTGGGATCTGCTCTGAGGAAGGATTATTCTGTATTTTATGGCCCCTGCTCTCCATGTCCCAAAGGCACTCCCAAATGTTCGGGAAGCTCACAGTGAACTGATTTTTGATGCCCTGGTTTCATTTCTCTGCCCTGTCAGAGATGTTACTTGTAGGTATAGCGCATTTGCTGTAGGTCCTGCCTGTGCTCTAGTACTTTGCTGCTTCAAGGGTGACAATCCAAGACAAGACACACATTGCCCAGTATCTGTCACTTAATTCTTGGACATCTTTATGGCTGCATGTCCGCAGAAGTTGAAGCCAACCAATAGTACTGTTGTCTGTCCTGAAAATTTCCACTGGACTGCTTTATAGCAAATTGAAAACTACTGTCCACAGGCTTGTTTTTGCTCATGCCCTGTTTGCAAAGTCAGGGAGTTGGCTTGACTGAAAGCTAACCTGCTTAAGGAACTAAAACCAAATACTAGTCTTTGATCAGTTACTTGATCCATCTGCTGTGGTTGTACAAAATCTATCCTCTTTTAGTTTAAAACCATTACTCCTTGTCCTTTCGCAACAGGCCCTGCTAAGAAGTTTGTCCCCATCTCTCCTGTAGGCACCCTTTAGGTACTAGAATACCACTATAAGGTCTCCCTGGAGCCTTCTGTTCTCCAGGCTGAACAACCCCAACTCTCTCAGCCTGTCCTCACAGGAGAGGTGCTCCAGCCCCTCTGATCATCCTCACGGCCCTCCTCTGGACTCGTTCCAACATGTCCATGTCTTTCCTGCGCTGAGGACTCCAGAGCTGGACGCAGTACTCCAGTTGGGGTCTCAACAGAGCAGAGTAGAGGGGCAGAATCACCTCCCTCGACCCACTGGCCATGCTTCCTTTGATGCAGCCCGGGATATGGTTGGCTTTCTGGGCTGTGAGTGCACCTTGTCAGCTCAGGTGCAGCTTTCCATCCACCAACACCCCCAAGTCCTTCTCAGCAGGGCTGCTCTCAATCCCTTCATCCCTCAGCCTGTATTGATACCAGGGGTTGTCCCGACCCATGTGCAGGACCTTGCACTTGGCTTTGTTGAACCTCATGAGGTTCACACAGGCCCACTTCTCAAGCCTGTCCAGGTCTCCCTCTGGATGGCATCCCTTCCCTGAGGTGTGTCAACTGCACCACTCAACTTGGTGTCATCTGCAAACAGATGGCAGATACTGGTCATATGTCCTCACCCAACAGTAAAGAGTCAGTGTTAATGCTGCAATTGAAACATGTGCTTTGGATTTTTCATTTAGACTTTGTGTGTCTTTGACCATCTCTAACTTTCGTGTAAGAAGAACCTTGATAGTAAAGGATTTGTGCTGCTTTAACTGCGGTGAAGGTTTGCCAAAGAACCAAGTGTCTTTGCTGTAATGGGGACAGTGAAGCTGCAGCAGACTAGTAAATATGCTC